GTTCCCTGGTGTTCACAGAATCAAAGCCATTTCACAACTAAGATATGGAACAGAATCAGCAGCACGTTTGCTGAGAGGAAGACATAGCAACTTTTTAATTGAAATATTACAGTGTTATTCATAGTGCTCCTAGGAAATTAATAATTATCCCCACTTTAAAATTCCTCTGTTTTGCACCAAAAGAATGGGCACTTTTAGGGAGGTGTTAAAATAGACTGTTGGCTGCACATGCTTTGCAATCTGACTGACCTGAGTTGGAATCCAGGCTGTCATTAGTTGGGTGATCTTGGGCAAATTCCTTAACTTGTCCGGGCCTCAGTTTTCCCATCAGTAAAATGGGGGTGATGCTGCCAGGCTCACAAAACCCGACACCAGTGTTTCCCAAGAGCTTCCAGTGGAACATAAGACTGTCGTGACATGAACAAACATGTTTCATTTGAATGACAGTCACTTACAAGCTAAGAAGCAGGCTAAAAGAGGTGGCAGCCACCTCAAGCAAACCGTGAGGATTACAGGAGCTGTGCTCTGGCAGACCCATGGATGAGTGAAACCTTTAGCAACTGAATCTTTTTTTTTCTTTTTTTTTTCGGGGGTGTGGAATTAGGTTTATTTATTTATTTTAATGGAGGTACTGGGGATTGAACCCTGGACTTCATGCATGCTAGGCATGCACTCTACTGCTAAGCTATACCCTCCCCCTTAGGAACTGAATCTTTACCAACGCTGTTGAGATGTACAGAGAAAACTGAAAACTTTCTTTTTTTAGTCCCACCTGCAGCCACAGGGGAGGGTGAGGAAGAGAGGACCCCCTTCACATTTTCATGGTGCAAACTAGGCTTGAAACATGGGCTGTCCGCAGGCACTGAGACCTCTTCGAGCAGCCAGCCAGCCAGGGTCCTGTCCCTTGGGTCTTAGGAAGCAGCCCTGACAGTGCCAGCCACCTACTCCACCTGGCCTGAATCACAGATGATGGACTAACACATAAGTCATGGCACATCACAACCAGTGTATCTTTTTATCAAATGATTAGATTTATTGGTTTCATAATTCTTATTTTTGGCTTTAAAAAACATACAGTTGAGAACTATATTCAGTATCTTGTAATAACATTTAATGAGAAAGAATATGAAAATGAATATATGCCTGTATATGTATGACTGGGACATTATGCAGTACACCAGAGATTGACACATTGTAACTAACTATACTTCAATTTTAAAAAAAGACAGTTGAAGGGGGGAGGGTATAGCTCAAGTGGTAGAGCGCATGCTTAGCATGCACAAGGTCCTGGGTTCAACCACCAGTACCTCCTCTAAAAATAAATAAACCTAATTATCTCCTCCCACCAAAATTAAAAAAAAAATACAGTTGAGACTTGAGCAACAAGGGTTTGAACTGTGTGGGTCCACTGCAGATTTCTCCTCAATAAAATATACTGGAAAAATGTTTAGAGATTTGCAACAATTTGAAAAAACTCGCAAGACCAACCACATAGCCTAGAAGTATCAAAAAAAAAAATTAAGAAAAAGTTAGCTATGTCATGAATGCACAAAATTTGTGCGGATGCTTCTCTACCCTTACATAGGAACAAGGTAACAATATAAAACTGACGTGTTAGTCGTTTTTTTTTTTTACAGTTTTATAACTTTGCTTTCAAGGAATTACATTACCATATAGTATGCCTCTCTCATAATTGGAGAAATTGTTTATCAACCTATCAACACAGGTTTCTTTTTTTTTAATGTAACAACATTTTCAATACCACATTATGAATATTACTGAAACAGTGTATGCAATAACAGTTTAATAATTTTACAACGATTCATTCATTAGTGTACAGGCCAGGGTACTGTGAAGCAATCGTACTGATTACACTGGGTTATCATAAAGCTATCATATTGCTGCTTCTTCCTTATCAATGTATGAATCATTATACCTGTAAATATAAACTTCTTTTTCACATAATCTTTTGAATCTTGATGTCTGGTGTTAGTAATGCATACAGCATCTACATTGTGTTTTGTATCATGGAAGACAATATTAATGTAGGTACTGACAGACAATTCATCTTATAAACAGACAACATAAACTACAGAACTGATACAGAACAGTGCTCTGCAAATGTATTTTCTCTTCCTTATGATTTCCTAAATTACATTTCCTTTTCTCTAGCTTCCTTTATCATAAAAATAATGTATGTAATACATATAATGTACAAAATATGTGTTAACTGTCCATGTTATTGGTAAGGCTTCCAGTCAATAGTAGTCTATTAGTAAAGCTTGAGGGAAGTCAGAAGTTATATGCAGATTTGCAACTGCTCAGGGAGTGGGCACCCTCACGTTGTTCAAGGGTCAGCTGTACGTAGCAACCCTCTATGTATGAGAAATTATACTGGTTTTTCTTTTACAATTGTCATATAAGGTCTCCTTTTAAAATGCAGGTAGTGTAAAGTGCATTAAGTGTAAAAATGACTGACAGTTGAGAAACACAGCCGCAAGTCAATGAGCACAGATTCTGTTCCTAATACTGGAATGAAGGGATGTGCATGGGGTGGGCAGAGCTGACGCCACCTGCAACCTTGCCACCCACAAAGAGTGGTCCCAGCCTGGGATTTCCAGCTGGGTCAAACTGAAAATTCCATTTCTTCATCTTTTTAAAATGTACCTTTCATTACTTGTACCATATTTTAAGCCACAGAAAACATCTCAGCATCTCAGCTAGAGTAATATCTCTGAATGTAATCTGCAGACTTTTGAAGGAAAACAGTAAGTATTAAAACTCAATTTATATATTGCCTGTCACTGCCTCCCCTGGTTCTTATTTTGCTATTTTCCAAGCTACAGAAAAGTAATGAGAACACAAAGCAGAGAAAAAACTGGAACCCTCATACACTGCTGATGGAGTGTAAAGTTGTGCAGATGCTTTGGAAAACAGTTTGGTGGGTCTTCAAAAAATTTAATATAAAGCTACCGTTATCAGCCAGCAAATCCACTCTTAGGTATATATCCAGGAGAAATGAAAACATATGTTCACATAAAAACCTGCCCTAGAATGTTCATAGCAGCATGATACACAACAGCCAAGACATGGAAGCAACCCAAATGTCCATCAACAGATGACTGAATAAACAAAATGTAACATATCCATACAAAGGAATACTACTCAGCCACTAAAAAGAACGAGAAACTGAAACATGCTACAACATGCATGAACACTGAAAATATGATGTTAAGTGAAAGAAGCCAATCACAAAAGGCCACATACTGTATGATCCCATTTATATGAAATGTCCTAATTAGGCAAATCCAGAGAGACAGAAAGTAGATCTGTGATTGCCAGGGGCCAAGAGGGAGAGGGAATGAGAAATGATGCTAAGGGGTACAGGGTTTATTTTGGGGGTGATAAAAATGTTCTAAAATTAGATGATGGTGATGGCTCTACAACTCTGAATATATTAAAACCACTGAATTGTACACTTTAAAAGGGTGAATTTTATAGTAATTAGATCTCAATAAAGTTGTTATTAAAAAAACAGAAGAGAAAAAATACAAAGTAGACCTATACAGACTAGAGTCACCAATTACTATTTTGGCACATTTGCTTTCTTTCTCCTCACAGGTGCGCACACACACACAATTTACGAATTTATGGCTGGACCATTTAAAATGCAGTTATTATGACACTTTATTCCTAAATACTTCAGCATAATGAAAATACAAATCTCATACTTGGGAAATTTAACACCATTACAAAACTCTTATTGAATATATAGCCCATGCCCAAATTTATTTATCAAAAACGATGTATGGTATTTGGTTGTCATCCCTTTTATCTCCTGAATCTAAATAAGTTCTCCCGTCTTTTTAATAACGCTCTCATATTTGAAGAATCTAGCCCAATTACTGCACAGAACGTTTCTCAATTTGCATATGCCTGACGGTTCCTTATGAACTGAGCTAAGGTAAGTATTTTTAGCAAGAATACTACAGAGTTGAGTTGTGTCCTTCTCAGTGCTCCATGCCAGAACATGATGTCTTTTTAGTGGTGGTGGTGGTAAGGTGGTATTCACTGCTGGTTAGGGTGGTGGCGATCAGATTCCTTCATTATAAAGAAAGCCTCTTCCCTCTGTAACTAATAATCTGGAGATAACTATTTGAATCTGTATAAATATCAGGTTTCCCCAAGTATCTTGCACCCAAAGGTTTTAGCATCCCTTTTGAGACCTCCCTGCATTTACATGATTAACCACCACTCTCAGTTTCATTCCACAGAGTGTGAGACCTGGCTGTGTTTCAACTCCGGCTGCATATTAGCAACACTGGTGTCTCTGGGGGTGAGACCCCAGTCATCATAGTTTTAAATTCCCCAGTGTGACTGATTTTGATGTACAGTGAGGGTTTAAATTCCCTGTGTTAGAGGTGGAGTAACCTTGCATCCTCACTTGGCAAATTAGGAAACTAATGAGGTTAAGAGCCAGTGGCGCATAACTTGTTAATGGCATAATTAAGATTTTTTTCACTTGCATTTTAATATGCTATTCCTCCTCTATGTTATTAAAATAACACCACCAGAAAAATGAGGAACTTTTGTATAGTGGTACAGCAGACCACGGCCTAAAGTGCGTATTTCTGCTTTCCAGGTTAATTTCGGCTTTCTGTCTTTAGAACTTTGCATTCACCTTAGAAGTGAGGGAACGGAGCGTGTAGTCATAGAGCTCCTTCGCCCTCAGTGCTCACCGCAACAGCTCAAGCCTGGAGGCCTAAGGCCGAGCTGGAGGTTCAAGGCGCCAGCCCCTTGGCCCTGCATGCCCCCCAGCCGGCGATGACTCCGGCAAGGGCCGCTTATAGAGCTGCCAGCCACGAAAGCGAGACGTACCTGGCGGCGATGCACCTGGCTGGGAAGCGCCTGGAGGTGCGCCTTACCCCTCCCAGGGACACCCAGAAGTGTGCGGAGCCTTGGAGACAACAAAACCTGCAGGCCCACCCACCACCACTTACCCCGGCGTGATAAACCTTGTTCGCTCTTTTAATCTTAATGTCCAGGGTGGTCCCCATCTCGAATACGCTGCCTTGGGCGCCACTTCCTGCCGCGCGTGACCCGAGGGATAAAAGGCCCGTTCCGCCCCTCCGTCCAGGGTCCCGCCCCCTTCTACTCTCCGTCGGAAGTTGCGTCACGTAATCTTGCGCGAGCCGCGTGATCGACTCCCCTTCCTTCCTCCTTCCGGTGCAGGGGCGGGCCTTAGCGCGGGCCGATGGGCTGTCATTCTTCGCCCCGCCCCCGCCGGACGTGAGGGGCGGGACCGGGCTAACCCCACCCCTTCCGTAAGACAGTCAAAACGCCGGAAATACCCTCCTTCTCGCCCGTTGACTTAGAGGGAGGGGGAAACTCGTCTCTCCCGTCGTGCCCCGCGGTAGGGGGCGGCGCCAGGGACGCGTCGCGGGCGCAGCCTGTGCAGAGAAGCTAAGGCTCCCGTCAGGCTGTGCGGTGCGTACAGGCCATTAGGCATCGCGTTATTGAGTTGGCTTTAAGGCGGCGATAAGTGGGGGCTACATTCCCTCCCAGACTCCTTCCTTTTGTCGTCTCTCACCCTCCCCCGCTTCCTTCTGGGGACTCTGAGGACGGAGAGCCTGTGTCCGTCCTCTGCTCGGCGGTGTTCTCTGCCCTTCCGCAGCCCCGCGCTCCCGGCCTGCAAAGCGCGGATTGGCGGGCGGCTCGGCTGCCCCGCCCCTGCCGCCGGGCGCGGGGCCAAGGTCTCGCGGAGAGCGGGTGACCTCGCCCCGCCCTGCGGGGCCGCGGGGGCTTGTGGGTACTCCCCCGGCGCGCGCCCTGGAACCGGGTGTTGAATATTCATATTCGTGCACAGAACTTGGGAAGGCGCGGCTCGCGGGCCCTGGGTCCCGACAGTACGTGGAAATGAAAACCTCGAAGCTGAAACGGACCTGCCTAGTTCTCTTCTTATTCCCAGCAAGAGCTGACTAAACGAGACACCAGAATTACATTGCCTTTTGGAAGGATTGCTTCCAGGCAGGGCAGCAGTACCGTGCTGCACAACATAAGACATTTATTGAAATAAAAATCTCTTGTCAGTGTTTTCAACAAGGACTTTTCCAATAAGCAGAGAGGAAATTTTTCATTGTTTTGGTAACTGACAATAGAGTAAAGAGATTTTTAAAAATTCTTTGATTCAGATATTTGTTTTTTAAAGTGCATTACTTTTAGGATTACATGAGAACTTTTCTGTGAAATCATTTCACGAATTAGCATCACGAGTGCCTCTCTCTTGAGAATTTAAGGTATTTTATAGGACAACAGTGATGGTGCTATAGCTACGATTGCTTTTGAAGGTTGATACATATGATATTCCCCAACATTCAGGTCTCAGTTTTCAGCTCCTCTCTGCCCACGGGGCTTCCGTCTCTGTCCTGGATATCTTCCTGGCAACTCAAACTCAGCAATTCTAAAACAATTCATTAGGAACTTAGTAATTACAGGCTAGTCTATTTGCAATTTAAGAAGTAGGTCCCTCTCAACCAGACTCACCCATCATTTCCAATTGGTAAAATGTCAATCTCAATAGACAATGCAGGGAAAGAAACACCTTACTAGGATCCATATTCACCTTATAAGGATCCACCTGCTTTATTCTTATTTTACGACAGAACATTTCTTGTTTGCTGAGGACACGTGTGCTGTATTTCACTCATCTGTATAGGTTGTACACAATCTTTCTAGAATGCTGGTGCGGTACGAAGAGCTTTAGTTCCAGCAATAATCAGTATAATCAGTTGGTTGAGACCTCTGTGTGATGGCTTTGGAACATAAGAATAGTCCATTTTTCTCCAATCACTGCTCTTTTGAATCTTTTCTGTTCCTTAACCACACCTTAGGTGCTACTGTGACACTTGGTCAATTTCAGTTACTAAAAATCAGACCTTGTCAAAGTGTCAGTCTCATGGCTTGAGTTGGGTGTGAAGGTGCAAGTCAGGGTTATGGCTCTCAGACACTTCCTCAGTGTCCTCTTCAAGACCGGGCTTCTATGTTGAAGCAAGTATCTCTTAACTGGCCGCTGCTAGAGTTCTCTCTCATTTGATCCCTGCTTCTCCGGTTTACTGGCCCTTGTCTGAAACTCCTTGCACAGGGCACATATGGGAAGGCCTGATGGACCTTCTCCTCTCCATGTGTTTCCATGTAAGATCTACCTCCAGCTTGATCTTTTCCATCACTCGACAGCCAGCACCCAGCAGTACACCCAGTCTCCTGGGTGTGCCAGCGAGACAGCTTGAAACCATTTATCTTCCACAGAGTCCACTTGACTCTTGAGAAATACACATCCTTGCTACACAAAAGGGCTGGCCTGGAGAGTGCCCCATGGCCTGTCCTCTCTGCCCTGCTGTCTCTCTTCAATCTTCTTCTTGTTCCCTCCTGAAATATAGTCAGAAATAAATCAGCAAGAAGGCTGAATAGACAGGTTGCAAGTAGGGAATGGAACACCAGCCTCTCCTTCCAGGAGGCCCCACTTATATCAAGGAGAAATTATCTTACAGTCTCCCCCACGGCATCACTTCCTGCCAGAAGCTCTGTATTCTCCACAAGGCCAACTACCTCCTTTCATTCCTTCCCCTGCCTTCCATACAGACTGAGAGGAGAGGACTGAGAAATATTTCATGGAAGCAGGGCTAGGTCTGCAGTTTTTTTTGAGCCCTGGGGAAAGTGTCTGGCTCCAACTGTAGACCTCATTTGTTAGAAGATGGGGTATTAGGCCTGTTGTTTTCAGCCCATTCTGGGATAAGAGGAGCCATCCCACTAAATATCTTTTAGTGGATGCTGTGATGCTCTCTCGAGACCCTTCTTTCAGGACTGAAGGACATATTCCCTCAGCTGCTCAGATTATTGGTCTCAACATCTCTCAGCTAAGTTGCTCTTCAAAACTTGCCCTCAGCTGAAGAACATTGCTTTGGCCAAAGTCACGGTCCCTTCTGGGTTGGGGGACAGACCATATCTAATGACTAATCAATTTAGGATACAAAGACCTCTTCCTTTCATCCCAGTGTAGGACAACTCTGAAGGCCAAATTCCAGCTCCCAAACTCCCTATATTAGTATCTATCATGCATAACAAATTACCCCAATGCTTACTAGTTGAAACTGAGGCAGGAACTTAGGAGCAACTTTGCTGGGTTGTTCTGGCTCAGGGTCTCAGGTAGTTGCAGCCAAGACATTAGGGCCACAGTCATCTGTGGGCTTGACTGGGGCTAGAGGATCCAAGGTGGCTCCCTCATGTGGCTGTTGGCCGGAGGCCTCGGCTCTTCACCACATGGGACGCTCCACAGGCTGCTTGGGCGTCCTCATAGCAAGGCAGCTAACTGCTCCCAGAACAGGCAATCCCCCAGGGAGAGCGAGCAGGGAGTGACAGTGCCTTGTATGGCTGAGGCTCTGACTTCTCACATTCATTTTTCTCCTTTTCATTGGAAGAGAGTCACTAAATCCAGTCCACACTGGAAGGAAGGGGAATCATAAAGGAAGGGACCATCAAAAAATTTGTGGACATGTTTTAAGCCACTAAGCTCCACTGGATGGGGAGCCTTTGTTGTAATTGCATGACAGTTCAACTTTTCCCTCTGCCCAACCCAATCCTACTTCCTTCACCGTCACCCCTCCACACCTGTTACTCACCCCCTAATATGCCTCCGGGACGTTAATCTCCATCTCAGAACCTGCCTCCTGGCAACCCAACCTGTGACAATCCTGTCACACTAGCTTCCTGGCTTCACTTCTCTGAGCCTCAGCTTTCCTCATCTCTAAAATGATTTCATAATACCTTCGTCACAGGGAAGTTGATAGCACTCATAACAGCTCATATGTGTATGAAGCACTTACTGTGCTTACTGCTAGGCATTGTTCTAAGCACTTGAAATATTTTAATTTATTCCATCCTCATAACAATCTTTTAAGTATAATTATTATTTCCTCATCTTCTGAAAGGGAAAAACTGAGGCATTGGAAGACCATGTAGTAACTAAGAGGCAGCCACCCATTTTTATTCCAGACCTCACATATGCAATCAATCACCAGTCATCATGCTACATATGTGTGCACAACAGAGGCCTGGGGTTCTAGCATGGAGGCACGGGATCTTAATGAAAAGACTAAGCAAAGGACTGCCAAACTAATGTGAATGCCATGCAGGGGGACAATGTTACAGTCAAAGGTGATTTGAAAGAAAGGAATTGACGGGTCATTTATCAATTGATAGTGAAGACACTATATTAAAACCGTGGTAGAATTGTATAGGGTATTCGTTTACTGGGGTGGCTTGTAACAAGGTACAGTACCACAGACCATGTGGCTTTAAACAACAGAAAATTATTCTTTCTTGTTTGGTTCTGAAGGCTGGAAGTCTGGAAACAAGGTGTCAGCAGGGTTGGCTCCTTTGGAGGGCTGTGAGGGAAGGTTCAGTTCCAGGCCTCTCTCCTTGACTTGCAGATGGCTGTCTTCTCCCTGAGTCTCTTCACATTGTCTTCTTTTTGTGTGTCTTCATCTTCACATGGCATTCTCCCTGGATGTGTGTCTGTCTCCAAATTTTGCTTTTTTTTTTTTTTGTCAGTTCTTCAGCAAGAATTTATTTTCTAAATTTTTTTAAATTTAATTTTATTTTTTATTGAAGTATAGTCAGTTTACAATGTTGTGTCAGTTTCTGGTGTACAGCATATTGTTTCAGTCATACATATACATACATATATTCCTTTTCATATTCTTTTTTATGTTTGTTTTTTGACTTTTTTGGGTGAGGAGATAATTGGTTTTATTTATTTATTTTCAATGGAGGTACTGGGATAAACTCAGGACCTCCTGCATGCTGAGAATGAGCTCTACCACTTGAACTCTACCCTTCCCCCCATATTCTTTTTCATTACAGGTTACCAAGATATTGAATATACTTCCCTGTGCTGTACAGTAGATATTTGTTTATCTATTTTATGTTTAGTAGTTAGTATCTGCATATCTCGAACTCCCAATGTATCCCTTCCCACTCTCTTCTCCCCCCCCGCTCCAGTAACCATAAGTTTGTTTTCTATGTCTGTGAGTCTCTTTCTGTTTTGTAAATAAATTCATTTGTGTCTTTTTTGTTGTTGTTGTTAGATTCCACAAATGAGTGATATCA